AATTCGATTTTTAACTGTTTTATTTATAGGTCAAGCTGTTTATAAAACATCAGACGAATGTAAGAACAAAAAAAAATTGCTACATCATGGTGTCGCTGTATAGCTGATAGTATATCACGACACTTTTTCTCATATCATCATAATGAAGATTGCATAGTGCAACGAATTAAACTAGAAACAGATTTTAAAACATTTTGAATAAAATTTAGACGGAATTTTCCTATAAATTTTTAGTTATTGTATCTTTTCTTTTCCAACTACAGCAATATCATACCCTAGTGAAACATCTTGTAAGCAAGATCTTGAAATCTTGGGACCAATAAGCAAGATCTTGATCAGATCTTGGAAAGATAGGGTGTGGGTGTGGGTGTGGGTGGATGTGGGTGTGGGGTGTGGATGAGTGTGGGTGGGGTGTAGGTGTGGGTGGGTGTGTGGAGTGTGGGTGTGGGTGTGGGTGTGAGCGTGAGTGTGAGTGTGGGTGTGAGTATGGGTGTTGGGTGTGGATGTAGGTGGATAAAAATAAAACAAACATCTACACCCTCACCCACAGCCACAGCCACACACCCACTTTTTTCGCTCAAAAATTCACCTGGAGTCTCCCTCAGGGTTAAGCCAAAACACGAATTTCATCAAAATGCTGTTTTTAGTGTTTAGTCATTTGCTATTTTAGGTTCTAATAATATTTTATAAGCTTTGAAATCAATTTGGACTGTCCAAACGATAGTTTGATGGAATTCATGTTTTGACTTAACCCTGAGGGGACCCAGGTGAATTCTTCAGCGAAGCAAAAAATTCATGAAAATACTTCAAACGCATATAAGTCGACTCAGTTTTCGATGCTAATTCGAAATATGTTGTCAGATTTTATTGTTTTAGACCAAAACGTAACTTTTTCTGACTAAAATCTTCTAAGTATCAACAAAAAAGACATAGAAATTTGCGAGGTCCGCACAGTCCTTACCGGTTTTCTCTTCAGGCCTTTCGATTTTTAATATAGAATATATGGCTACCGATAGAGCATGACTAGGCACAGTTTCTGGGAAAAAATAACGTGGGTACCAATAGGTCTTGAATGATAACGAACTACTATACCAATACCAATTAATTGAAATTTTGGGTTTTTCTAGTATTTTTGAATTAAAGTTTTTAATTTTTTTGGTTAAAATGAAACATTTTTCCTTTCAAACGAAAATAATGAGATAAACAGAGTTATAGAGCAAAACATTCTTTACAAAACTAAGTAAAACACGAATTATTAATGGACTCGGACAACGGCCCATACAGGGTCACTTTAATAAGGGGTCTAGTTTTTTTTTTAACCCGAAATATTTGTTAATACTGAAAAGCAGTGTATAGAAGAAAAATTCATGAAACTTGACAGAAACCAATCTGTTCCATATACCATTTAATGTAACTTTTCTAGTTCTACAAAACCCTGTATTTAGTTTCTCTAAACAAATAGTGTGGCAAATCCGACAGGATCCTTTAAACTATGTAGAAGTTCTTTCAGGTTCATTTTTCTTGCCACACTCTATTGTTCCTTCTTTATTTACTCATAATTGATCTAAAAGCTTATAAGTTCGAAATCTATCGTTTTTTTTTAATCTATATGCACTATACTGATTATTTCCATAGGTCTAAAATATTTTTGTTATTTATCATTCTTCTGTAGAATATGAACAGTTCTATTCTAATCGTTACTAATTACTATACTAAAATACTTAAAAATAAATCTAAATTTCAAGCGATAACATTTTCGAAAATACTAAGAAATGTTAACAACGTTATCCTATTTTTCATTAAAACTTTCAAAATATTTATTAATAACATTCGATGCAATACTAATCAGATAAAATGTTGAACCTTCTGCCATTCTAGTAATCGCTTTCCGATACGAAACTTGGAATACTGATGCACTTTTAAGCATTACTGTTATGACCGGTGATGATTGATTTCTTTCATTATTCTGATACCTTTATGCTAAGAAAAGTCAGTGGTGCTAAAGTATTGGTCATCGTCGTAGGTTTTTCATGTGCTAACCAACATCACCATTAGTCCTCTTGTTGCATCCCTAGCTTCGAATATCAATCATGGAGAAATTGATAATTCGCGAAAAACTAAGAATTTTTTCTACGACTAAGAACCAACAAATGTTTCTCTCGGAAAGATATTTACAATTTATTGAAAAATACGTACGCGAAGTGCTACATAAATGCTGTGCTTCGTAGCGTATTGAAAATAGTATCCTATACATCATGTATCTACAAAAATAAGAAGTTTTCATAATTGTCTCAGTTTGTATTTACATGTCAGCATATGTCTATCTATGAGAAGCACAAATCAAGAATCATATGATCATTTTTTAATCGCATGTTAGTAGTTACTATTTTTGAAGGATTTTTTTGTTCTATATTTGTATAAAGTTTTCCAATTTCTATTGAATAACTATATTCGTAGAAAATAGCTAAACTAGCATCAATAGATAAAGAAGATATCTCGGATTGAGTCAATTTTGAGTTTAATTTTGTATTAGATTGGATCGGATGGATCACAATTTATTGGGCTTAAATTTAACTGGAATCATTGTGAATATGCTTTCGCGAGAAATTTATCATATGATGTCTGAATCATTACTTGACATTTTTGTCATACTTGTTCTTCTATCTGTTATGAAATTAATAAGATTTGTTCATCGGACAACTCTTCACTTTTCTAAATATAAATAATAAATTTCATTATCTAAGAAGTGATTGTTAATTAATAACGTTGAATGAAAGTTATTATTCATTAATTTACTTTATAAATAGAGTGTGGGTTTGTAGAGATACTCAAAACACAGCCACCCATATCCGCATACCCATGTCCCACAGCGGTAATCTGATCAGGATCCTGATGCAATCCTGTTTCAAACTCTGTCAAGATCTTGAAATTTCGTAGCTACACGCTTCTTTCAGGATTTAGACGATTCTTCAGGAAAAAAGAGCGAATGCTGGAAGATTCTTGACTGGATCTGTTTAGGATCTGACTCGGAAACATCAACAATTTTTCCTAGGGAATACTGAAAAATGAAACACGTGTCTAATATACAGTGTATCGACGATAGTTTCTCAGTAGTTATCACATGAAAAAAAAAGGATTAATAAGGACAAGTATATGCGTAATTTATTGAGTTCATCATAGATCCATTGTGTGGGATAGACATACAACATATAAATCAATCACTAACAAGAGAAAAAAAGAAAGAAAACGGAAATGATTAAATGACTCTTGGTATAAGTGCGAATATAATTGACTGAACTGAAAAAGAAGATAAGAAATGTTCATCACTCTAAAACAAAACTAAACGTTTATGATTGAACAGCAGAAGATTGTCAAGGATTTCGTACAAACTGAACAGTTTTCTGTTTTTTGTTTCCTTTTTTGAGTGGTTGTGGTATCACCGACTGTTGCTATTGAAACACCCTTGGATTCATTGCTATGTATTCCACGTGCACTCGATTATTTGGATGAGCCAAAATATCGACTAGTTTTCGTAATTGTGGTGTTGTATAAATTGTTGAAATTCCAATAAATATCAAACATGTTGATGTAAAAATTCCAATTATATCATATGTAAATAGAAATAAATTTCCACTCATAACTGCATATACTATAAAGATGATTGTTGGAAAACGTAGTATAATCAATAATGATGTTAACAATATAATACGTTTAATAACTATTAAATCTCTTTCATTTCGTTTTCGTCGTAAAACTGTACTAGCAATCAGTGATGTTTGAGCTCTCTGATGCATAAATATCGTTATCCATGTATATGCTGTTGTAATACATATTATTGGAATAATATATAAAAGAAGAATATGATAGATTTGTGCATGGATATTTGTATAAGGAATAATACAATATTGTTCTGTTGGTAAACGAGAGTACCAATGGAAAAAAATTGTTGGCACAAGAAAACCTAATACCAATAGCCATTGAATAATAATCAATATAATATATAAAGAATGAGATACCAGATATTTCTTTTTATAGAAAACTATTCTACATAAACGATAAAATGCTTGTATAGAATAACTATAATACATTGAACATTCAAATATATCATAGAATAGACCAAAGACATAACAAAATACAATATTTTTGGTTAAAAAATCATTAAATAATTTTGAACCAATCATTACACACCAGAGACCGTCACAGGGCAGGGCGGCCCTGGTGTCCTGCCCTGCCCTGTCCTGCCCTAAAGGCAGGGCAGGGCAAGTTTTTTTATTTTTCGCCCTGCCCTGCAGGGCGTGCTAGGGCAGGGCAGGGCAAAATATTTTTGCCCTGTTATTCTTTTTTCTCGAGACAGTTATTTGAAACAGATTTTCTAGTAAATAATTTTGATATGTTGATATTATGAGCAATTGTAATTGATATCACTATAAACTGACTATCATAACTTTTGGCATTGTACCTAGTTGGAACAATTTTTTATTATTATATTGGACATCATATAATCCAGTTATATTTCGCATAGAAACATACAGATGATTTGAAGAGGAAAGAAAAAGCATTTCACAATGATGCAGAATTATATAAGAGAAAAATTCAGTTTTTTTTGTTAAGCATATTCATATATTCCTCTTCCAAATAGTTTCATAAATGACCGTAGTTTTGTACAGCATACTTCATACAAAAGTTTAAAAACATGCCAATGTTCCAGTTTCTTCAAATTTTTTAGTTAAATTTTCTAGTTTCAATTATTTCATTGAGTTTTCTATCTTCGATAGTTTAATCTGCCGTCATATATTATGAGTTCATTCGATACTGCAACGATTAAATATCGATTACTGACTGAAAGATCGAAATATCAAATAATAAAGAATGGATCTTCACCTGCTGTTAGATGGTGAAGAGTATTTGGTTATCCAGTATAATTAAGTAATCATCAGTTAGAAAGAATTCCTGAATTTCATAGTGGTTTCAAATGTACTAGTAATCAAGTTTACAATACGATGAGTGGTGAAAAATGTTTTAAACAACATGTTGATAAGTATTTTTCAGCACTGAACTCGGAAACAATATCATTATTATCATAAGAAATCACTTTTACTTTGGGGCGTCATTTACCGTTTACCTTATAATAAATATGAATTGTAAGAAATTTATATTTATTATAAATGTAAATTATTTTGTTGCAAAATTTATATTTACAAATCGTTGTAAATTATTAGAATTCATATTGATTTGTAATATAAACTTTGTAACGAAATAATTTATATTTACAATAAATATAAATTACTTACCACTTAATTTACGCATAAACTAAATGAAAGGTAGACACATATTGAGATCCCTACTTTCACTCCATCTTCAACTTCATCGATACAAATAACTTTCAATCGGATCGAATTAAACAAATGATTAAAACTTTACCATTACGAGGTTTTTTAAAGCTATTAGATATTTCCTCATTTAAGCTGGATTTCCAAGTTCAGGGCCGCCCTGCCCTGCCCTCAGGGCGGGGCAGGACAGAAAAAAATATTATGAATCATCATTAGGGCAGGGCAAGAACAGGGCGCAGGGCAAGACAGGACATAAAAAAACTGCCCTGTGACGGTCTCTGTTACACACATTGTAAGACATATTAATAATGCAGCAAAGCAGCTATTACCTGTTAATAAGAAAGATATGTCTCGTAATTCTCGACGACTGTTATAAATCATATAGAAAATCAATAAAAATAGGATAATAGATAAGTAAATTAAACACCAATTAAATATGGCGAGTATTGTTGGTATTGTTAACATTTCATCAAATCACTTGAAAATAAATTTAAGGATTTTGTATAATACACAATAATGGTTTGAAATGAATGTTTAAGAAATAATTGAACTAAAAGAAAATTAAAATGAAAACTTTCACTCAAGTTTCTATAAAATAAACTAGTCATATGGAAAAAAATTCAAACTGTTAGAAATAACAGATCTGAATAAATAGAATAAAACGAATGTTTTATTTCGAAAAAATTTACAAGAAAAAGTGCTGCATATAGTTCGAGATTTTTGTGAACTAAAATTCGTATCTGGTTATTTGTGGAGCTACAATTATTTTCAAGATCATCTATGATAAATTTGTTTTTCTTTTAAAGTGAACAGTCAGACTTAAAAAAAAAGAACAGCAGACATTGGTAGTTTAATTGGTAGAAAATAAAGCTTGTTAGAGTAGCTCCTTTGAGAATAAAAGGTCGAACTCATGTATGTCTTTTAGCTTCATTAAACTAATTTAAGATTCACGAAGTAAAAAATATCTTGTAGACTGCAGTTGTTCTCCAATATAAGCTATTATCAAAGCAAGAATCTCTCGTTTTACAAGATTTTGAGCAGAATTCTTTTTAACGAACGCCCTATATTTTTTGGCATTGTTGCTATTTGCTCGTGTTTTCATTTTATTTTTCGTAATTTAGTATGATTGTTTTTATAATCATTAATTTAACTGACATTATCATATATGACTGTTGTAATACATACTGAGTTTACAACAAGTATCAAAGGACTATTATCTATCTCGACCAACTCACAATTACTGATGTTGTTTATATATATATATATCAAAGTTATAATATAATCAAAGTATATATTCTATGGTGATCGTATGAGAACTGTTGCACATCGATACATTACCCATCATCATTGTTGACATCTTGAATATAAATTTCTATCTAGATCATTAATCAAAAACTCAATCATTTAAAACATTCAAAAAATGAATTCTAACTATTCAAGTTGAGAAAAAAACTTTGAAATATTCGAGATTTTTATAGAATAGTGAACACTATGTTGTTCTTTATTAAATTACTCATGTCTGTAATAGAGAGGAAGAGTCTGAAAATCTCAGTTTAAAACTTACATTCATTATTTCTTTTGAACATATACGTGTGTTTCATATAAAACTAGATATTTTTATTGTGTATAACTAAGTTTTCATATATATATATCAAAATTAGATTTTACTTATGAAAATACATTCAGAAAATGAAGATTCTCTTCTAAAATTCTGTTTTTGATTTTTACTCTAATTAGAATGTAGAGAATTTTCACAGAGAAAAAGTCAAATCATACTTATATATTAAATAGTTTTGCCGTAGAGCAATTTTTGTTGAACATAAGTGCATCTAAGATCCGACATTGAACTATTCCAGTGTCGAATCAAGAAAACTGTTCATATTAGAACTTAAACAAGTCTCTGAATTCGACATTTTTCTGTGGACTATTTCGAGTTTTTTGGTGCTGTGTTCTCAATTTGAGCATGGACTATTTCAATTTCGAATCCACGATTCATCTAAGCCTATTTTGCATTGACCTACGATAGACAGTGGCTTCCATAAATATTTGACCAGGTTTATTTTCATTCTTTTTTGACTACCGTACACAATAACAAAGATCTAAATAAAGATTTGAATAGAAAAATTCATGTCCAACAAGAATTCTCAAAGGTGAAGTCTGACAAACCAAAACCCATGCATTTCAATTGATAAACTTTGCAAATAGAATTCTATGACAGAGCAAACAACTGTGTACAAAATAAAACACCCTTCACTTAACTATACGATGTTTTTTGACGATTTTCAATGACTGTTTATTTGATGAAATTGCTCAAATAGTTGCATAGATAAATTAATAAAACAACTTCTTAGAAGTTTTTTTATATTTTATTATAAATCTTACTAAACAATCAAAATCTAATTCAGTATATGATTTTAAGAACATTCTATTTGTCACCAAATCATTGTTTTTGGTATTAATATAGTGCTTGTTTTGTCTTTGATTGTCGAAATAACGGAGAAGTAAATCTACTCATATCCTAGCGCTAAATAGAGCAAAAAGACTTTGATACTAATTAGTATTTATTGAGAGTAACGCACCGTAAGATCTTTTTTTTACAGATATTACAAATGAACTGTATATGGTTTCTGAATGAAAGGACATTCTAGAAGACTCCAGGTATTCTAATGGCGCAAAAACTTTAAATATGAAGGCGCATGCTTACGGATAATAATGAACGATGAAAATGATGCTATTTTAGAAATAATTATAAATTTTATTCAATCTAATTTATTTTTCTATAGAACGCAGTAACACTTACTTTCCTTCTGTGATCCACGAAATTACATTTTCATATATTTCAAGGATCAGATTCGATATTGAGTAATGTTGAAAATAAATTACCAGTAATTTTTCACTACTAACAACATCAATTCACATTTATTTTTAATTTAATTTATGCATTAATGGAATTATCAGTAATTTATAATGTATAAAACTATAAGTAAAATCGAATAAATCATTCTATTTCTTTTTGACACTATATCCCGTGCCGATATTGATATCACGTCACGCTGACTTCTCTCTCTTTACATCCGTCTCTGACTCTTTCCTACATAAGCATGTATTCAATGTGCAATAGTCACATTCCGGAGATGTGAAGTGGCTGATGAACATCATCACCGACAGTAGCAGTAAGTTGCTTCTTCAGTTTATCGTGACATTGTTTTTCATGGTGGATGGATATTATCTTGAGGACCATCAAAATATTTTTGAAGAAGTTCACTTTTTAACATAAAATTATTTCACCGACAGTGTTCTACGAGACTAATAAAAGGATAATAATAAGAAAAATTGTTATGAAATCTATAAGAGACGAAATAACGTACTTTTGCTTTATTTTTGGATAAAAAAGAAACTGTGAATCTCTACTTTCGGGTTATAGAAATTCACTCGAAACGAAATATTCTTAAACTTTCCAATTTAAAATAAGAAAAACATTGAAGAGAAGATAATTAGCATCGCCTATGCTCTTTCACTATTACAATATTGAGGACAGGATTGTTTTGAAAACTTTTACAAAACAGAAAAATTTGCATCGGATTTATTGTGGAGCACTCAGAAAAAATTGGCAAAGTTGTATCGTTAATTATAATATAAGCTGCCTGAAAAGGGTGTGGGTGTGGGTGTGCGGTGTGGGTGTGGGTGTGGGTGGGTGTCGGTGTGGGTGTGGGTGTGGGTGGGTGGGTGTGGCTGTGGCTGTGGGTGCGTCTGAAGAAAACAACAACACTCACACCCACACCCCACCCACATCCACAGCCACAGCCACATCCCCACCCACCCCACACCCACACCCACACCCACACCTCACATCCCACCCACACCCACCCCGCTGTGGAATCTCTTTTATTTCCACTTAAATATTGGTAGAGAATTTTATTTATTTACTTAATCATTCTGATTTCTTCATCTCTATAGTTATACATTTATCCCTGTGCTTCCATTTGATTTTATTGAAGTAGTTGATGCACCAACACTTTTTATTATTGGTGTTCATTCGGATCAAAAACTACAAGCATTAGCTAATGTATATAGATTTCCATTTTCTTCATTTTCTATTTCTATATTTATTTAGTTCGATGGTTTATGGATTGTTTTAGATGATGCTAGTGTTCATTTAACCGAAAATGTTAAATTCGCTCCAATGCCTGAAAAATCATATAATCGAATTTTATCTTGATTATTTCAAGTAAAGATTTCTTATTAATATATTTAAAGTCATGTTTTTTTGTGGAGTTTAGATTTTGACATCTAATATTCATGCAGCTGATTTAGCATTTCCATTAATTGGACGAATGCATTTAAAAACTGATAGTGGAAGTCAAATTGTTGCTGATTATCCAAAATATAAAGATGAATCAAATAAAGATGGGGTGTGGGTGTGGGTTGGTTTTCGCTTCTTCAATAACCACACCCGTACCCACACCCACACCCTATGTCTCGTTGTGACTAGTCCACAAAAAAGAAAACGAACAATAGATTTGAACCTTTAACGAGAGAATATTCGGCATCTGACGAATATTGTGTAGTCATATAACAGTGCCGTCTTACACGCGCATTTTCAACGACAAACAATCTCATGAAAATGATTTTATTCCTGTTAGAAACATGTTTTTTATGTTATTGACATATTGACATACAGCATGTTACTACAGGAGCGCAGAAAAGTATTGAATTATGATTAAATCTCAATGAAAAAAAAAACTTTTTTGCTGAACTAAAGACCATTAATCTTTGGTTCGAATGATTGGCGAACGATTTCTAGCGGTAAATATTTATGTTGCTAATGTTACTCTCAATGATCCAATTACCATCTTTCATTTTTCTCCAAAAATTGCAAATTAATCATATTTAGTTCTTCTTTTCTGCATGTGTTCGATCGCTGTCACGGATTCGGAAAACAGTTTCGTAGTCAGAAAGTGCTAATCAAAGCTACCCATTGGCAATTCACCGCGTGAGAATTCTATTCATAACTTGGATATCTGTCAAAATATGATCAACTTGCAGTCGAAATCGAATATTGAACGAGGAAACTGCTTTAAGTGACACGTATTAACAAAGCACTGTCGCTTATTTTTGTGTCTGTCTTATGAAAATACTGATTCTAGAATTATTATCAAAAGCCTCTTCTGGAAATTTTTATTGTTTCAGTCAATCATGTTCTATCATTATAAAATAATTCTTGTCAACCTCTTAAACAAATGTCATTTTATTTTTATAAGTACATGTATATCGAGAAAATGATTATAGTTTATTAATAATGTAATTCATAGGTATAATTATTCTTGGAACTAGTAGATTCA